CAGGCAGTATCTGGCCTGGTTACATTTCCCGTTCGTTCGTTCCAGCTACCTCTCAAGCCCGACGGAAACCAGCATTGCTTGATTCTTCGGTGTCTGACATTCAAATCGTAGCAAACAAGAATTCAAACTGGACAACAAAGATGCATATCTTATGTAGCCCAGTGAAACTTTTGCTGATCTTATCAGAAACCGATCTATTTTGTCACTACTCACTAAAGTGCTCAGACCACCAGTTTTTTAATGCAACATCTCCGAAGGTGCATTAAGATCCCCGCAATCCACTTCCCCTTCGTTTGCCAAATATTCAAATCCAAAGACACTACTATGGTGGGGGCGGTCGTCCCTAAGTTCAATCTGACATCTTCACGCCGTCGGAAGATTGGAGAACTTCGCTTCCGGCTTCAATCAATGACAGATTGTATTGTATTGTACTGTAGTTAAGCTTTAGCGAGTTACATACAAGTTTTCAGCCAGAAATAGACCACCGTTACAATTCTGGTTAAAACGAGGTGAAAAATTGGGATGTGAAACGTACAAAAATGAGTTAATTATCAAATACATTAGAAAGCTCAGAACGAACACTTTACTTGTCGATCAGTATCCGGGTCAAATAGGGCACCAAACAGTTTCTGTATGCGGATATGTGAGACGGGATAAGTTTGTACTTCGAACGGGTGCAGGGGTGGGATTTGCATGCACCCAGGTCAATGTGTAGAGGATGGGTGTAATCAGATAGGATATTGTCAGCAAACTTCAAGCACGCATCGATATGAGCGTTACACATATTGCCAATCAGAACAGATAACGGAACTTGGGAGACACGGCTGATCATTGAGGTCACACCTGAGCAACTTGAAATTAGCCTTCGGTAAACCGGGGAAAATTACACGGGAGCAATGAGGCGTGTTACTGTGTGTTACTGAATTATTGCTGTGTAATCCATTAGAGTGTCCTCAGCCGCTCGAATTACCGGGCCGACCAACATTTGCCACCCTTTACTGCAGTACACAGTATCAACAATTCCACGGAAGGAGGAACAAGTCCAAATTTGTAGATGGGGGAGCGGTTTTTATCTGAATGTGTTTAAGCGTTTAAGCAATCCACGATAAAGGCCATCAAATGCAGCAAGATCTAACAGCGTTGAAATTTTCATTGAGGACGGCTACCAACACGGACGACCAAGGTACCACTCACCAAAACCGATACTCAGGGAGTGCCGAATTTTAGGCAATATGTCCTTAAGGCCGCCAAATCAGAGGTAGCATAATTCTAGTGGATCAGATTTTTCAGAAGTTGACGTTCGACAAACGTTGACCGGAACACAAGGGGCCATTCTTTCGCGATATTTATGTGCCGTGCTTTACACGGGATTCTCTGTCTCTCCATCTATCTCGTACATTAATGACAGTACCAAGATGGCCTGAAAACTTTAAACCTCAATACACCCCGTCCCCGAAAACCCCAGTATTCTCTTATTCATTTCATGTGCATTTGCCTTTCACATACTTGAAAATGAACATCCCTCAAATATACGCATTTCACTCATCGACTCTATTTTGCAATTTCCAATCTTTTCCCTTCATCCAAATGAGGGCAGCCAAAAGACAGAAACTAAAACGGCCACACGAAAGTGCATGATGGTTCATGGTTGTACAAACGGACGGAAACTGAACTGCTCAGAATTCACATATTTACCCCGAAATTGTCTTTACTGTGTGTCTTATTCAGCACTGTTTATTGTTTGCTAACCCCTTTTCTCACTGTAATTCTGTGCCGGAATCGATTTGACCTACCACCAGGGCTTCGATCACTTCTACCACTGGTTATCACTAGCCCCAGTGAGTTTGCCTGTCTCCAATAATTGGATTGTGTTCAGCTAAACTAATGATTATACCATTGCTCTACACATGTAACTGTCTGATCAGATGATACTACGAAAACATTTCATCGCATAAACGGTTTCTGCAATCCGGCAATCGGGTTCTCGGTGGTTACGACTTATCCGTTTCAATTTTTCCACGTACGATAACCAGACGATTACGCTTTCTTTTGGCTGTTTTTGACTTGTCGTCATGTGGTTACCTCCAAATACGTAACCTCGAATCAGTTGATCATCAGAGTGGTGTTCGCTACCATCTGGGAACCGTAGCTGGTGGTGGTCTCCGCGCCAATAGTCACATCTCAGTCAAGGGATGGCGTATAACTAGTGTTCGATTTAGTGGTCAACTAAAAGCTGCTACGGAACATCAAAGTGAGGGATTTGGGCAGCTGGCGGTGGAATTCGGACATCTCCAACCTGGTGTCTGTTGACCACTGGCACTCTGTAGGTAGTGCTAGCGAAATGCTCACCGTATGAATTAATGCCTCCGAAATCCTCTCTCAGTATGGTCGGGAGTGGGTGTCTAGGGTTAAGACTGGTCACTCTTTCCTTGCACCCCGCGAAATGCTCCCATACGACATAGAGTCTCAAATAACCTCTGCTGAGGCTTCCTTCTCGTTTGGGAAGACGAAAAGCCGATATCCGGGGCTATAATCGGGACGGTAGACCACTGATAGTTCACCTAGGGGAGTTGGCTAAAACCCCTGATTCCAAACCAACCATGAAGAGGTGTTTGAACCACACCCACACTTTTCTGGTTGTGGCAATGGTCACCAGCTCGATTGGGCATCGAGGTGTTTTGGGCACCTTGGACGTTTAACCCCGTCCGAAACTTACGTAGTTTAGCCCACGTTGGATGGAGCGAACGGGTCAGTAACGTGGAGATAAGCCGTCGTGCCTTTGGGAGTCTATCAGGTATAAACCTGCTGGCACACCGAATTCAGATCACACGAATCACACCTTTCCGGTTGTGGCAATGGTCACCAGCTCGATTGGGTATCAAGGTGTATTGATCACCTTGAACGTCTGACCCCGTCCAAAGAGCGAATGATCTGATGAACTGGACACCGGCTCCCAATGGATTGCGGTTTTCCCACAGAGCCCAGTTGCCATGCGGGTCAGACTTTGGTTAGACGAAGGCTCCGGTTGTGGATTACTCAAGAAAATTCACCGGCCTTGGCCTGAGCAACCTGGCAGTATTCATCCCAGCTGCAAATCGTGGAACGTTTTATTTATTTTCTTATGAAGATTATTGTACCGCGATTTGTTTGGCACAGTCTGAACTCAGTCAGACGTGTATGAAATATATGTATTAGTTAATCGCATCATTCTTGAAATCCACGGTGTTCCTACACCTTGGCATAGACAGACTCAAATTAGTGATCCAATACTTTACAAATCCCTTCAAATACTAGCCACCCCGCAACCCCGCGTTCACACAAATCGATGCAACTTTTTAAGACGTCGTTTGCACGTGCTATATGTGAAAAATTTCGCTCCATCCGGACACTGCCCTTCCTGGTCTGAGTATCTCCTGTCAGGACGAACACAAAGCACGGAGAGGGACCGGATCAACTGAAATTCTAGAGAGAGGCCATTTACAAGACCAGCTGAAAGTAACCACTGATCGATAAAACATTGGGCCGATCAAGGTTCAGGAACCGGATGGAAAAGCTAACTGATCGGTCACGTGCGGTCCGATAAGAATGAGCTGACATTACTCGCATGACTTGCTACAGCCTAGTTGGAAATATCAGTACGCATGTACCTTCGATGATTGTACTGTGAAGACATTACAAACATCTTTATTCATTCGCACAAGCGCGAAGGGAAGGGATGGAGTCGATTAA